ATATATATATATATATATACACATATACATATTACTCTCCGACCACCGCTTACTCCGTATCCCCATTATGCTAACAAGCGCATGCAAACGAGTGATATAGAGTTTTGTTCTGGTACATAATATAAATATGTCTATAATCATATACGTAAAACTTGTTTCTTCTTTGCGTACATATGCATACTCGTATACATCTACGTCATATGCGTATTGTATATACATACGTGTGTCTAGAACGTGCACACTTGTGACGCGTCGATCCAACGACACGCGTAAAATCGCTGCGACACGCGAGACGCCACCGGTTCAACAAGAAGCATTACGAGGTCTGTCTGATTATGCCTGTCTGCCGATTCATCATTATGTGCCGAACGCGTGTGTGTTATAACTACAAATTACGAATAATGTCATATTAATCGTGCGTCGAAATGCTGAATGCAATCATCATACAGTGTAATGTAATGTCACCGGTAGCGCTCGACGATTGTAATATGCCAGCAGATTCCATCGTTACATTACGGCAAATTGGTATCAACTGCGCCCGCATTGAGCTCGTACGTTCGCTCGGCAGAACCTACGTGCGTAATAACACAGTAGATTGAGGACTGAAATCGAGCAGATTTGCGGCTTAACGACGGATTTATGTCGGACCCTCAGCTTTTATTCTCGTTCGGAATGCGTTCGATGCGTATTTTTTTGCCAAAGTCTGTGTGTTATTAAATTTATATTTATTTCACATTTACACACGTATACCGTATAAGAAGCAATAGAATCACAAATACATGAGTCAAGTGTATAAGAGTAAATAACGGATGGGAATCTTTAAATAAGACAGCCGGATTAGCTGAGAGACTCAGAATTACTTTGTGAGATGCTAATGTGACGTCTACATTGTGAAGACCGTAAGTGTATTTAACGACGGCATAATCAAACAGACGAAACGGCTATCGAATCGGCGGAGATACATTTGCAGTGAAAGATCGGCCAATGTATGCCTCGACAATTATAATTTATTATTTAACATCTTGTCAAAATGCAGATATCGATATGGTTGTCTGTATCGTTATTGAAATACTTCAAAGTTTTGCAACGTTTGCTTTCCCACTACGTAAATTAATATCAAATTACCGATTTTGACATGAAGATAATGACTGAAAATTTACTTTAATGTGGATGAAAATGATATTATCGAAAAATATTTACAATAAAAAATCTTTCTTTTCTATGTAAATTCGATTATGAATTTTATTTGCAGTTGGAAAATGAAACAGCTACCGTACGGTTGCAAGATTTTGTTGAATTATATTGTTATTTTGTTATTATTATTATATCAGGCTAAATGACGTCTTTACATTATCGACGGATACGAACATCAGCGAAACTTCCTGCTACTTCAAAATTACACAGACGAATTCAAAATTTCGTATTCTCCGTGCAACGGCAGGTTATTGTCAGTGTCGCGAAACCTTCGGCTGTCTTCGATCGTTCTTAGACTTAGAAACAGGTCCGCGACATGCAAATTCCATTTACCTCGTCCCCGGCTGCCGTTCGCATATTCCTGACCACTATGTCGCGTTGACAATACGAAATCTGATGTAAACCTTCTCACTAGATCAAACTTGATCGCTCCGTCTCTTTGCATACGTTGTACACGTATGTTTAATGCATATATATCTTGAGAAATCTTACGTCACTCACGTGAAACATATCTCAACGTGAACGACACACACCACTCGTCATTCGGAAAGAAATGGTATTTGACAAGCAGATGATGCCGGACGAAATGTTTGATTAAAAACGAGTCCGTGAATATCAACGAATGGGTAGAACTTGAAACTTCTGTTACCTACAATTACTACATAATTGCGAACTGCCCTTCCGCACACATTGATGCTGGTAAACTTGTTTTAATTTATGATTTGTTGTGGAAAACGCGTGGATTAATACTGTCACAATAATATAAATACATTGCAATCCGCTTTGATGGAAGTGTGAGTGTTGAGAGAAATATTGTTCGTCCGTAAATTATTTACGTTGTTTCGCAAGTAAACACTTCGAAATATTAGAACTTTTGATAAAAAAAACATATTAAGACTTTTCGACAAAAGCGAACTTACAGATAGATTCGTGATTTTGCAGTCGGAACGTTTAGTTTCGCAAAGAACGCATTCTTCCAATACAGTTAAAGTATTCCGTTATCTTACAAGATATATCGAAATCATATTAATTCACCCTGTATTTGATCGCACGTTTATTGTTACGTGAAAATAAAATGAGTTACAACGTAGCCATTAACTTTCAACATTCACACTAGGATCTTCTTTTATTAATAACGTTATATACATTTAAAAAATGCAATGGATATAAAATTTAACAGACATTCCGCAGCAGCGTTGATCTTTCAGCTCAGGAAATGCAACATGTTCATTTCCACCCGGTCACGTGTGAAATACCATCGAGCCTCTCTTACCATCTTCTACACGTTCTCTCCCGGGATTAAAACGCTGACCACAAACGAATACAATAATAGATTTCTCTTTCTCTCTCTCTCTCTTTTCTGTTCTCTCTCTCTCTCTCTCTCTCTCTCTGTCCTCTTCTTTCTTTCGTGAACTCGTGCATCTCCACCTCTCCTTTCTCCCCGAAATTTTTCATCATTTTTTAACATTGTATTTCTTCGAGCCGACAATCCAACATCGTATACGAAAACGTTTGGCAGAAAAATAAAAAATTCTCTTGCAACTTGTGTCTCTCTCTTTCTCTCTCTCTCTCTTTTTCACTCTTCCTCTCTCTCTCTCTCTCTCTCTCTTTCTTTCTCTTTCTCTCTCACTCTTTCTCTCTTTACTCTGTAATATGGTCTCCTCCAACCTGTTATCCACAAAACCAATATTTTCAATGTTTGCTGTATCCCGATAGTATAGATATTTTTTATACATTTAGCGCATGGTGTGACAAAACATTCGTAGCCGTCGATGCTTATCGTTCATGAGTATCGGAAGAATCGAATCGCTCGAATCGGCTGTCTCGAGCTTCTCCCCCCCTCCCCCCCGCCTCATCTCACTCCCAAATAACACCCTCTCTCTCTTTCTCTCTCTCTCTCTCTCTCTCTCTCTTTGTCTCTCATCGTCATTAACTCATTTCGAGAGCGATTCGAAGATTGCTTGAAAAGTGGCGACGCAACGTTTCCCCAAACGTCGCGTCGCTTCGATTACTATCGAAATTATAGCGAGCT